GTCAATTTCGAGCCGATATCTTTAACCAAATCAGACACAAAGTGATTAACTGGAATCTTTCCATCTTCGGTGATAACGTTAACCTCACTGATCATCAGGTCGCTTACATCGAGTAACTGTCAAAACAAAAAAAAAATGCAAATTTAAAAAATTAACAAAAAAATTGTTTGTATCATATTTCAATAATGTCAAGCACCCTTTTTTGCAAAGCAAGAACATAGACGACATTTTTAACTAAATCATCAATTTAAATATAAAAAAACCTCTGAATAACAACAAACTCACAATGCGTTCGATTTCCTTGGCAACGATGTCAAAGTGTAAGATGGCTTCACCGCTGATCATTTGATTGTCGAAATCAACATTCCAGAACAATTCGGTGTGCCGGGTTACAACATTCTCTGGCTCAGAGTAACTACTAGGGTCACCTTTGCTTAAACGGCTCATATTGTTAGCTTCAAGTTGAGAAATGCACAAAAGTGAGAGAAATGTGAAAATTGAAATAAACGACATATTTTCCATAAACTATATGGTCTATCAGAATTCGATCACAAATTTTAATGTTAAGAATGTCATCAAAAGTACAAAAATACAAAACTTCAAAAACTAAATCAAACTTCTAATGTCCATTGGTTAATGGGCAATAAGTTTCTAACCAAACTAAAAACGAAAGTACAAATACCGAAATATTTCAATGTTGACACTTCTGCGAGTCACACTATTATAATAAAAGAGGCTCGTTTGTCAAATTTTATGTGATCAAACACATCATAACACAATACATACGACATCTGAGTGAAAAGTGCTGATATTGTATGTGTGTATGAGATTTTTGTAAAAGGTGTTTTTTTTCATAAACAAAATAAAGGCAGCCAATTAACGCCACCTATAAGTCGAGCGGAAGACTTAGGAATAAACAATTGTTGTGAAAAATTCATCCATTATCGGGCATATGTTGATGGTCGGATTTGGGCCAGGATTTGTGTGTAGTTTCAGTCGAATTCAACGTCATCAATGGAACGAAAAAAAAAAAACAGAAAAAAATCAATTAGTATGATACAAAAATTGACTTGATATCCTATTCA